GAGGATTACATGTGAGTCGTTTGTCGAGGTGGAGTCCTAGGTAACGGATTTGTTCAACTGGGAGAATTGTTAAAGGATAGTGTAGACCAGGTCATAGGTTTGCGACGCAGGACAAAGTTAATTTGATGGTATTTTGGGATTGGAATTTTTTTTAATTCTCCAGTTTTTGCACCATTCTTCAAGGTTTGTGATATGTGATTGGAGAGTTTGGGATGCAGTTGATGGATCATTATTAACAGATAGGATACATGTGTCATCAGCAGAAGTTGTGATGTCAGTATCAGGATGGGTTGGGATATCAGTTGTATAAACTGTATATACGATAGGACCCAGGATACTACCTTGAGGAACATCAGCAGACTAGGAAATACTGTGTCATAAATTATAAAAACCAAAGGCGCCTTCAGAAGAGTAGGCCAAATAAATTTTTATTATGAAAAAGCAAATTACTATTAAATACTCGGTTAATACATTTAATTTGAAAATAACCCAAATACAAATTTAATATTTTCAACTAACTCACATGGAATCCTCTTACAAGACTGAAACAAGAAACCGCTCGACGTTTCCGACTACTGCAGCACTTACTAGACAAACGCTCTAAGCTTTCAATCAATTACAAAAGACTCATATATATGACAATAATAAACCTATTTGACTTACGGAGTTGAGCTATGGGGCTCCACTAAACCATCGAATTCCTCTCGTATCCAATCCTTACAATCCGAAATCCATCGTAAAATCCTCAACGCTCCTTACTTTGTCACAAACAAAATCATCCATAAAGACCTTAATGTTCCATATGTTTCCGATTTGGCCCAATCCAGATACCTGTCCTTCCATAACAAACTGCAGAACCATCCGAATCCTCTCGTTTCAAACCTTGCTTCCTCCTCGATCTCTGATAATCCTCCGAGGCGTCTGAAAAGAAGATGGCCTCGGGATCTTCTAATATAGAACTTTAATTTGAGTTCTACCAATAAGTAGTTTATCTTCATGTTTTACATGTCATGTTGCCAATGTCACATTTACTTGTTGTATTTTTAATGTAATACAGTTGTAAATTTCATTAAAATAAAATTTAAAAAAATAAGAAAATATTTTCAACTGAGTATACGTGTATTTTATTTATCCAGTTAGTAAAGTTATACGTATTTAATGAGCTTCAATGTTTTTTGTTGGTAGTTTTTCCCGAACACTCTGTAATCCGAACTTTTTGACAATCTGAACCGAACGCCTCACTGCATTTCGGAGCACTGTGTTGGTACCTGCACAAATCTGAGTCTCGATTTGAAAGCATTCCTATTTATTTTTAATACTTGGATATCAATAAATGACTCTAATACTCATAAAAATAATGTGTATTTAAAAATAAAAATTTTGGAGGCGCCGGGCATCGATCCCGGTACCTCTCGCATGCTAAGCGAGCGCTCTACCATCTGAGCTACGCCCCCTGTTACAAATTTTACGAAAGGAGTTGACATTTAGAACGGTTTTGTAATTTAGGAACGGTCTAGATTTCTCTCAGGTCAGCAGGGTGTGGATGCATTGGCAGCGCCCAGTGGTAGACAACCCGCACTGCTCACAGTGGTTGGACAAGTTACTAAACTTGGTGCTGATTCCATCGATAGATTTCATCAATAGATTAAATTCACTAGCAATTCTAGCAACTGGACAGCTATTTATGCTAAGTTCAGGAACGGACTGATGGATTCCAGCGGAAGGTTAACAATCCTATAAGGTTACAAAAAACCACAAAAAGTAAAAATCGTTTGGACATTTATTAAGAGTAAGTAGTAAACGAAATTCTATAAAAATGATGAACCATATTTTTTTTTGCCAATACCAACATTTCTTCCAGCTTTGAACTAAATCAAACGAATCGTTTCTGAAATATTGGCTAATTTATAATTTAAGTGGGTAAAATTAAGTACTGGTTGTAAGACGGAAATTGATTTTTCGGAAAAGTTTATTATTATTAGAGTTTATAAATATTTTTGTACTAGCTTTATCAGACCATGCGCTGCTGTGGCTTAGTCTGGCAAAATGGAAAAGAAAGAAAATAGAAGGCACATATGAGTGGATTAATACCAAAAAACATCTGTCATTTTTAAAAAAATTGTCTGTAACATGGTTTCAATTAAACTAATTCTAATGATTTTTTTTCATGATTTAACTTGACATTCTTAATCATCAGAGTGAATACGCCGTCATTCTTAATCATCAGAAACAGTTGAACTTATAAAACTAAAATTGACTTTATCTCCACTTTCTGAAAATAACAGAGATTCGTCTTTGATACGAAGCACTCATATATTTTCATACTCAACTTTGTGTTGATCAGTTTATGGCAAATAAAAATGTGAATGTTTGTTTGTTCAAATTCTTAAATCTCGGAAAGTTCTTCACTTATTGCCTTGAAATTTTGGCTTAACGTTGCATTTAAATACGCACATGGTTTAATATATCTACTATTATAAAATATAAGGTGAAACTGTACATATTAATTTAAAAACATACCATCATTTGGATGTAAAAGCAACACATGCGGTTCAAAATATTTTACGATACTGTTTCAAAATTAAAGATTTTCAAATATCAATCGTGGCAATTCATTGAAATAAAAGATTTCGCAAACCCCTCCTAAGATATTTTATTGCTTGCTTCTTCTTAATAACAACTGTAATTAACTTGATTAAAGATAGAGTTGTAAATTTATAGTAGAAAAATAAACCTCACTGAAAGAAACTATGGTAAACGGCACAATCTTATTCCAACATAATGTTAAAGAAAATAATTTATTAAAAAATAAAATAAGCTGAAATCAATAAAAAACTGATTCCTAAAAGGAACTAGTGTTAAATTTTTTTAAATAATAGCAAATCAAATATTTGAGATGTATCATACTACATCTAGAATACATTGGGGGAGGGGAATAAAAAATGAATATTAAGAGCGTATATTAGTATTGACCTACGTAAGGAGAAACATATCACTTCTTCAAATGATAATTTCAATTACTGTAGTAATTATAAAATTTTCGATTAGTCAATAACAAAAAAAGAAAAGAAAAGGGAAATGGCCTTTTCTTAAGAGAAAACAGTAAATGTTTACTGTATAACTCTGAAACGAATCGTCCGATTTCGATGACATTTTTTTTTTATTTTGTAGGGAATTCAGAAATCTTTAGTTCCTTTTTTAGTTATCGGGAAACAAGGTTTTGAATTCATCGTAACATTTTTTCAGCTTGTTTCGGCAAAGTATGTTATACACATAAATTAAAAGGGTTTCAAGGGGAAAACCTTAGCCAAGTTTCGTTGTTAAAATTGTTAAATTGGCGCTACAGTTTACAGCGACACGTTTTTCGGCCGCCATTTCGAAACGAAAGGCCGAAAGGTAATAAAATGTTTAAAAACACTCCTGAATTCGATTGTCAAATTTCAAAGTAATCGGTGAAGAACTTTCGGAGTACTATGCCAGAAACCTTCGCGAGAGTGTACGCAATAAATTCCCAAAATTTCATGGCGATCGGATGAATGATTTAGTAATGTATAATGGACAAACAGACAGACAGATTTATATATATATATATATATATATATATATATATATATATATATATACAAACTTCACTATTTTATTGGGAATAAGGTCATTTAATTATTATTTAATAAACTAATTAATGTTCATTTCTTCTGTTTATTGACGTTTCGATCCCGGTATTTTCTTTTTATTAGTCAACCATGGGATCCTCTTCAAAGCTAGAATTTAAAAAATATAGAGCTTCGATCAGGCCAGGGACACACCGACAGCCTCAGCACCGTCCACTAGCACATATATTAAGCTACTCAATAGCTAAGTAGCTTAATATATGTGCTAGTGGACGGTGCTGAGGCTGTCGGTGTGTCCCTGGCCTGATCGAAGCTCTATATTTTTTAAATTCTAGCTTTGAAGAGGATCCCATGGTTGACTAATAAAAAGAAAATACCGGGATCGAAACGTCAATAAACAGAAGAAATGAACATTAATTAGTTTATTAAATAATAATTAAATGACCTTATTCCCAATAAAATAGTGAAGTTTGAATTTAATACTCAAAGGTCGATGAAGGAAAAGTTGTAAAAATATATATATATATATATATATATATATATATATATATATATATATATATATGAATTACAATATATACATAGTATACAAAAAATACATCTAGTAAATTCGCACATGGATATAATGACATGAAACACATGTTGAGAAACTACCCAATTGTAGCACTCTAATAATGTGTCTATATTAGGAGATCACGTGGCCATCTTCTTTTCAGACGCCTCGGAGGGTTATCAGGAATTGAATAGGAAGCAAGGTTAGAAGAGGGTTGGTATGGTTATGAAGTTTATTATGGAAGGACAGATATCTGGATTGGGCCAGATCTGATACATAAGCAACATTAAGGTCATTATGGATGATTTTATTTGTAACAAAGTAAGGAGCATTGAAGATTTTACAAAGGATTTTGGATTGTAAGGATTGGATACGAGAGGAATTTGAAGGTTTGGTGGAGCCCCACAGCTCAACTAAATAGGCCTTATTATAGTCATGTAAATGAGTCTTTAGTAATTAACTGAAAGATTAGAGCGTTTGTCTAGTAAGTGTTGAAGTAGTCGGAAACGTCGAGCTATTTCTTGTCGTTTCAGTCTGGTATGAGAATTCCAAGTTAGACGTTTGTCCAGGTGGAGTCCTAGGTAACGGATTTGTTCAACAGAAATAAGTGAGGTGTTGTTAACGGATACTGAAGGACAGGAAGTCATTGGTTTACGACGGGATGGGTTGGGAAAAATCTATATTAAAATAATTTTTGTTTCGGTCTTACAATAATCAAAATTCCATCTACAATGAGCTGGAAATGATCTTGAAATCATTCGTCTATCATGGAGTAGGTTTTCGGTACTAAAAATTATTCTAAAATTAAATTAGAATTATTTTTATAAGAAAATTACATCTGATATATCTTCGATTGCATTGTAAGACAAATCGAGCCACTTGATTTTACTAGGTGCTTCAAATATCTTGTTGCAAAAAGCTACTACACCGTTGAAACTTTCCAAGTTATTGTGATTTAACCAAAGTGAATTAGATACTATTTTATCATTTGGACCTCGAATCACTTCCTTTCCAATTCTCATACTCCGTGGTCGTGCTCTATCAGCCACTGCGAAAAAAAAAAAATTAAAAAGTGACATTGAAATTTGCTTATTTGTTTAAAATTAAATTATCAATAGTAAAGATGTTGAGATGGTTGACCGTTGATATAATTTGAGAAGGAGTTGATCGGGGGTGCGGTCAAATTAATACTAAATTAAACAAGTAGAATTATTTAATTTTTGCCGACGTTTCGACCCACTTTGCAGGTCTTCATCAGGGCTACAAAAGATACAAAACATGGTGAAAATAAAATAAATGAATATAAGTAGATATAAAATAAGAATAAGTTGTCTGATACAGAAATAAAAAGATGATATCAGAGATATAGTGGGTGACAATGTAGTTAAAATATCAAGTATTATATGTAGAAGATACAAACAAAAATGGAAAATAAGTATGAATAAAAATAGAAAATAAAGGAGAATATAGCATGTAAGTTATAAGTAAACAGATTGCGATAAAAGATAAGGAATGAGTGCTTATCGCAATCTGTTTACTTTTAACTTACATGCTATATTCTCCTTTATTTTCTATTTTTATTCATACTTCTACATTGTCACCCACTATATCTCTGATATCATCTTTTTATTTCTATATCAGACAACTTATTCTTATTTTATATCTACTTATATTCATTTATTTTATTTTCACCATGTTTTGTATCCTTTGTAGCCCTGATGAAGACCTGCAAAGTGGGTCGAAACGTCGGCAAAAATTAAATAATTCTACTTGTTTAATTTAGTATTAATTTGACCGCACCCCCCGATCAACTCCTTCTCATATCAGTAGTAAAACTGATCAATTGTTCATACTTATTAATTATTAATTAATAAGAATTACTATAGTGCTGGTATAGCATGCGCAAACGGAACTTTCTTCTCTCTTTCAAAGGTATTGAAATCGCCAAAAATCTCAAATATAAAGTGTACAAGTCTATGATAAAGCCAGTTCAGAGCAAAATATTCATCACAATAACTGAAGCAATTAAAAGTACTGACACATGGAAAAGAAGAAACAATAAAGAACTACTAACAGAAATTGATAAATCAATATTTCATGATATGTAGGCAAGGAGGTTAAGATGGGTGTGATATGTAGCTTGGATCAATCTATCAGGATGCCTTTATTCAATAATGAATGCCCTAATAGTAGAAAAGATACCACCGGAAGACCAAAAGCCAGATGGATAAATCGAATCAACAAGAATAAAAAATCCAGCGTATAATAAGCACAAAAAGCTTTATTTTCTTTTTCAAAAGTATTTAAATCTCTAGAAATCTCAAATTGAGGGTTTACAATACTATGATAAAGTCAGTTTTGAGATAAGGCTGAGAGACTTCGACACACACCAAACACCCTAGTAGCATATTACGCTATAGCATTGCAAATAAAACATTGATCTGGAATCAGAGTATTAATGCAGGAGGAGAAATACTAATGAAGAAATTTCAGAAACTTTGACATTTAGCTCGGAGCCATCTATCAGGAAACCTCTATGTAACAATGAATGTATCAATATCTGGCAAGACATCGCGTAGAAGGCGAAAAACCAAATGGATAGATCGAATCATCTAGAATGCTGCAGAGCTGCATGCAGATAAACCTGTACCACTACAACCCATGAAGGGTCTGGGGTTCAGTACTATTTAGGGAAAGCACTGTTTCTAGGTCAACGGTTGTGCAAGGAGGTGATTGGACCGAGATCATGCTCAACCGCCAGGTTTTCCCCCTTAATCAATTATTTAATTAAGGGTACTCACTTTATAGAGGCTGGTTGTGCCCCAGGAGTGTCTCCCGACCCAGGGTCGCACCACGGACAATGAAACAGATAAATAGTTTTTCTGTCATGAGCCGGGGTTGGAACCTGGAACCTTCAGCATTGGAAGCTCAGTACCCTACCACTGAGCTACCCCACTCTCTTGCATGCAGATAATTGAAAAGAAATGGCGTAAGATAGGCAAAGATGGGGAAGGCTGGTTAAGGTAATAAAAGCTCCACAGGTTCTGTAAAACTAAAAGAAAAAAAAACACAGTTTTTCTTGATCTAAACGAAATCGAAGCGACAGGACATAAGTATGCTATAAGATATTGCAAACGAAGATATTGCTAAAACATTTTCTTCGTTGAGTTATAAAGCTGTGAGGTACTGATTTTCGAGAAGAAAGAAGAGAAGGTAATGGGAGATCAACTGTACAAATTGTTACAAGATTTGATGATCACATGATAAATGGAAACCCGAAAATGGTCGATTTCTTCAAAAGAAGAAGGACTTGACCAAACCTTCTGATAAAGGTCCGATCTTAACTGAAATCGACGCCTGATTTCTACTGAAAAGATCAGCTCGAAGTTGGCAATAGTCGCAAATCACGATCTTAATAAATGAAGAATATATTGTGAACTCGTCGATCTTCGGCTATTCTCAGAATCCCACTTACAGTGTAATCTTAGAATCTTGACCCATAAATCAAAGTGGGGATTAAGTTCATATATTGTAATGGTTGCGAAACATGATTCGGCTGTAATTACAAGAGAGCTGTACCAGCACACGTCTGATTGATTCTGGGTCGTCATAACACCGAATCCAATGGTCATAACATCTCATCAGTTGAGAATTAGTGAGTGATTCCACGAGTATGGATGTGATTCCACGAGTGTGGATGTGATTCCACTTTCTGGATGAGAGAAATCACATTTACAAGATGCTCAATCTTTGGAACTGCCATTCTTTGCAAGATCGTAGGAAGAAATGATCAGGATATGTCCATTGGTGCGAGTATCTGACGATATATATCATCACACAGTCGTTCAAAAGTAGTTCATAACAGTCGACTCTCTGAAAAAAACTGTCTACTAACTGTTTCAAGAGGAAAAATGTACTTACTACTCTTCTAAAATATAATCAGACCCAGAATTCATAAGTTGCGCTGCAAAGGACTGGTCTACATCGCCCCTATCATGATGACCTTCTCACTGCTCTATAAATCTGGTACAAATTAATAATTTTCTGGTTCGCAGCGTAATCCTGAAGAACAACAAACGCACTTTCTTCTAGTTATTTAACAAAATATTTGCCCACAATCTCTCTTAAGTAAAACGTGAGATGAGAGGTGATCCACCATCCACAAGTGGAAGTTGTAGGATCAATAAATACACTTTAAAAAAACAAAATTAACTTACTATAAAGAGACTTGATCTTCCTGAAGGAGTAATCCGCAGGCGACGTAAGTGACACATCTACATTATCATTCACCAACAAATCGTTTAATTCTTTCATTATGAAATATCTTTTATTTAACAAATACTATTGCAAGAAATATTGGTATCCCTCCGATATTCCTCTTGAAATTGTCTTATCATGTGATGAAACAATATAAAATTCAGAATTAAATCGCCATAAACAAAAATTTAAAGGAAAAGTTGATTAGTCTAATCGCCATTACGTTCTAAGTGCAATAACCTAATTACATTCGTACTCACGATTTGATCAATCCATAAAAATTTCGCCTGAAAATATAAATTACATAAAATTGAATTAAAATAAGTTGATATTATTTTAATTTATGGTTTTAATAATTTTTTTTTACATTGTATAATGATTTTATATAAATTATTATACTTTGGTTAAGTTAATTATTAATTGATTTTTTTAAAAAAAGTAGGAATAATTACATCGAACATATGTTTGATATCAGACATAATTGATTTATCACTATCATGAGCTTCCAGTACTGTAGAAAGGGGCGGTTATCCAACGTATTAAACCTACCTATCCGTCAATTCGAATTAGGTACTAGTATACAAGTGTCACTCCATTTTGATGGGCGACCCAAGATCTCATGATAACACCATAAATGAAATCTCGAGAATGACCGCTTGTCTCCAAAAATAGAACGAAGTGACCGAGTTGTCTGGTACAACTGAAAAGATCGCGGTGGGGGTTCGTTCATCCCTTTAAACCGAGCGTTGCAAGCAGGAATCCAAAGCAGCGATGTAATTAAAGCTAATTTAAAGTAATTAACGCCCCGATTTTAACTAAAAAAAGGACCAGTTAATAGAATATTGATATCCTCAGGGATATTTTTATTTTTGACATAATAAGAAGCATTCTAGAGAATTATATGCAGCATTTTGAATTGTGCAGATTGGTTACGCGAAGAATTTGATGATTTTGTGGAGCCCAAAAGCTCCATTTGTTATGTTTAAATGGGTCTGATAATGGTACTGTGTAGATTTTATTTTGTAGAATATTGGCAGTTTACAATGTTGTTCAAGTGTGGTAATTGAAATCTAAGAGCAGTTTGTCGGCCTGTTTTATATGAGGACTGAGCAAGGCGGATTTCAAGATGAAATCTTTAGGTAGCGGATCTGATCGATAGAGATAAGTAGAGTATTGTCAAAATATTTTGTAGGACAGGATGGAGTAGGTTTACGATGGAGAGCAAATGGGATTAGTTGAGATTTATTTTAACTCTCCAGTTTTGACTCAATTCTTCAATAGCCGCATTTAGCTTTAATTACATCGTTCGTTCAATTTTCGTTTGCTCAAAACAAATACAAAAATCCTCAACTTGTCCGTTTCTGGTTGAGGTTCACTCACTAAACGTCGATTGCAGAGAAAATTTATACTTTCTCTCTTGTATTAAAGTTTATGAAGAGAAGGATAGTTGGGGTGATTAGTGATAATAAAATGGCAAAAATAAATAATAATATATATTTTAACTTAAACTTAACCCCCATACCAGACTGAAACGACTAGAAACCGCCCGACGTTTTCGACTACTGTAGCATTTACTAGACTAGAAGCTTTCAATCAATTATAAACGACTCATATATATGACAATAATAAGACCTATTTGGACTTGCGGAATTGAGCTTTGGAACTCCACTAAACCATCGAATTCCTCTCGTATCCAATCCTTACAATCCAAAGTTCTTCGTAAAATCCTCAACGCTTCTTACTTTGCCCCAAATAAAATCATCAATAAAGACCTTAATGTTCTATATGTTTCCGATTTGGCCCAATCCGGATACCTATCCTTCCATAACAAACTGCAGAACCATCCGAACCCTCTCGTTTCAAATCTTCCTTCCTCCTCGATCCCTGATAACCCTCCGAGGCGTCTAAAAAGAAAATGGCCTCGGGACCTTCTAATATAAAACTTTAATTTGAGTTCTACCAGTGGGTAGTTTCTCTTCATGTTGTACATGTCATGTTACCAATGTCACATTTACTTGTTGTATTTTTTAATGTAATACAGTCGTAAATTTCATTAAAATAAATTTTTAAAAACAAAAAAAAAACTTGAACTTATTTATTATTTATTTTTGCCATTTTTATTATGATTGATCACCCCAACCATGGGCGGATATAACCATGTTTTATGGAAAAATATATTAAAAAATGATCGGTTAAAGTATTATTGTTAGTGTAATTACATTTAAAAGGACTTAAGAAATCACTTAAACACCATTTCATATAGATAGTTAGTTTCTTTCTTTTTTTCCAAAGTAATTATCGTCATTTTTATGAAAAAAAAGCTTTCGGGCTGAAGCCCCCCCCCAAATTAAATCATGGATCCGCTAGTGACCCCTAACACCCTTCTCTTCATTATTCACTACAGTCAACCATCAACCCACAATTATTAAAGTTTATTTGTGTAAAATTTCAAGCTCTATACCTTTAATTTTTTTAAGATGTCTTTATTATGAGGCCTCTTAATTTAATAAATGGGGCCTGGAGCGGGCCAACTCAATCATTATCTCTAAAAACTCACATTAGTGATTAATCTCAAAATTTATTAATTGTGCAATATCAAAAAATAAACCATCTATATATATTATAATATAAAAATTAAATAAAGAAAAAAAAATTAATTTTCTAACTTCGTACTTATCGCTCGCTAAATTTGATTTTTTTAAATCCTGTCAGAATTATCCATATTTCGGAATGATCGGGGTCCTGAAAAGAAAACTTGTTCAATATTTTTATTTTATATTGATTCCAATAAGTGATAAATGATAATTTTGATAAAACGTTGCAAGATACGTATTTAATAAAAGTTGGTCATTTACTGTCTATAATCTTGAAGTTTATTATGTCTTCATCCCAATATTACTTAAACTACAAAGTTACAAAACCTGGAATATTAAGGGAATTCAAAAATAATATTTAAACTAGTCTTTTTCATCGTTAACGATAAATGAATGGGAATGGATAACAAATACTTTAAGAAAAAGTGAAGTTATTCAGACGAAAAATTGTTAGTTTTGGATTTGATTGAAAGTATATAAATATTAGTTACTTAATTTAATTCTCTACATTATCAGATATTTATCTATCTGAGTTTGTGTTGTGTTAGATAACACTATTCTCAAAAGTGAAAGCACATTCAAGAAAAAATCATAAGTAATAGTCGTTTTGTTTGTATATTTGTTGTGTTCATGAATTAGTTTTATATGAAAATAAATACAAATATTTTTTTTAAAATAAAACCTAACCCACCATTATTTGTTTATATTCTACTGATAAACCTGTATTTACTACCTCTTATCAATGTTTTGTTATTGTAACCAATTCCTTTCAAAACCTCCAGGTGTAAACATGGGCTCAGTGCATCGGTAGCTTCTCAGCCAATCCAAAATTTATCAGCCACAAATTGTTGCTTGTTTTAATCAAATTGCTTGTTATTTATAACTTAATTTTAAAACATGTAGCGAGGAAGATTTATCTCTTTGATTCAAGCTATTCTTATACATTGTTTTATAATTTAACTATTTCGAATTAAAACAAAAAAAAAATGTCTTCTTCTAAAGTATCACAATTCGTGGCTGGCCTCAAATCAAAGAATGCTGATGTCCGTTTTAAAGCTGCCAGTGATTTATTTTTATATGTAAGCTTAATTATTTTATACTTATTATTTTAAAAATATCATAATTTTTTATTGTTTTAGAACTTCTAATTAAAGAAAAGAATTTCGTTTTGTTCTTTTTTTTTTTTTAATTAAGATATTTCTTAATATGAACTAAACATTATTAAAGGGTTTGAATAAAGCTACAGTATAATCATGTTTGGTTATAGCTTGTATAAACTTGAATGCCATTTAATGGATGACTGTTCATAGTTGAGAAAAAGCCCATTTTCTGTAATATTGCTTCAATTTAAACCAATTCTAATGATTTTGTTTTTCATGATTCAACTTTAACATTCTTTAATAAAATCATCAGAAACGGTTAGAGTTGAACCTATGAAATAAAAACTGCTTTATGAAAATTATAGATGTCAGTCTTTGATGAGAAGCCATTTATCTGATCACTCTATTCATACAATGCAGAGTGTTTGGGGAATGGTTGTCTTTGTATACTTCAAGAGACACTGCTAGTTTCGCCATTAAGACTTATCAAACCATCCGAAAATGATATTATTAATGAGGTATCATGATTAAAAAAATACATTGATAAGAAAAAAGATAAATCTTTGGCATCAGCAAGTTAACTTCATTTGATACTTCAGTTACTGAAATTTTGTCAGCTTCAATAAGTTTCATAATATTTTGAAAAATAGCTACTTGATTGTGTAGAAACTACTGGCACAAAACTTCTATTATTATTATTATAATTGAATCTCTTGCCACATCGTCTGACCATCTTAGATTTGGTCTCCCTCTTCTTCTTGTGCCGAGGTTCTGTCAGGATCATCCTAGGGATTGCTTCATTATTCATCCTTGCTATATGGCCAGCCCATCTCAACCTCCCAAACTTCATCCTTAGAACGACATCTTGATCATAAAAAGTTGAGCAAATTTCAACAATCGTCCATCTTCTCCAGTTTCCATCAATCTGTACTCCTCCAAATATTCTTCGAAGAATTTTTCTCTGAAAGATTAGGAGGTCTTGCTCAATTTTTTTTAGTTTATGTTTCTGAAGCATAGAGCAGGACTGGGCAGATTTGTGTTTTGTAGAGTTGTAGCTTGTTATTTCGGGATAGAAGGCGAGAGGTGAATTCCTTGCGAATGGCAAAGTAACACTTGTTAGTCATAAATATTATTTTCTTGACCTCGACCTCGTGTATGCACCCATGTCTTGTGTTACCAGTGACCCCAAATACTTAAACTACACTACTTTCTCAAAGTTTAAGGGCCCAATATTGATGGTATCACCTGGTCTAGGGACTTCTCCTGTGGCCATATATTTAGTTTTGCCTTCATTCACTTCTAACCCAAGTGCTCTGGCGTCCTCCAACAAAGCTAAAAATCTCTCTCTAATAGATTGCAATGT